TGGCAGCGCTGTGCTTTTCATTAATTTGCACAGCCTCCTGTTTTATTTCATCTCAGTCAAAAAGTAAATCTCATGAAATTAAAAACTCTCTCTAAAATCACTGCACTTTTATGGTAATTGTAACTTTTATAGTAATAATATTGCATTATTATCAAGTACTTGTATCAGTACTTAGTATCAGCAAGTACTCAAATGTAAGTATTCATGTTTGTACTTGCTGTGAAAAAAGAGGTATTGGTGCATCCCTTGTATAAACCAGCACATCTACATCTCTTCAATTAACAGGTTATATGGTGTTTGATAAATCTATACAAGAACCAAATATAACTAGATTTACTGCTTTATGGTTCTATGCCTCCGCCAACCAGTCAAATTTAAGGGGATGGGACAGACATGAGCTGACCTTGACCTTTGTCCTTTGACCACCAAAATCTAATCAGTTCATCCTTAAGTCCAAGTGGACACTTGGGCCAAATTTGAATAAATTAACTCAAGGCGTTCCTGACATATCGCTTTCACAAGGATGGCTGTAGAGACATACGGACGTATGGATGTATGGGTGTACGGACAACCCAAAAACATAATGCCTCCAGCCACAGCTATCGCTAGTGTGGAGGCATGAAAATGACAAAGCCAGGCTACTTACTTCTTTTACCCTGTTTCGTATATTTAGCCTAAGCTAAGATCCTAGGTTGTTGGCTGAAGTTTCATATTTTACATACACATTTTAAAATGTCATTGCCATTAAACTCCCTGCAAGAAAACATATAAATAAACAGGATTTCCCAAAATGTTGTGCTACTTGTTTTAACAGTTAAAGCTGATTCCAGTGGTGAAATGTTTTCATGACAGTAAAACATTTCTAGAAACTTCTCAATCCACATCTGCATCATTCTGTGTCTTATTTCTTTTTCATCACCCTTCTTAAAATCCTGACATTCCCATAGAAGTATTCTTTTTAGCTGTATTTTGGTGAAATGTCTATTTGGACTGTAACTCAACATACAAGCAGCAGAGAAGCAAATTATGGTGCAGATGTGGTCAGAGAGGTTTCTCCACTTTTTTCAGTATGAAAAACTTATCAGCATCCACTTTTTAACTACGATCCACATGAATTCTAGCTGAACTGCTTTCCATGAAACGGTACAAATCTTTCTCAGCCAATTTTTTTAAAAGCCTACATGTGTTTCATACTCAGATATATACACATAGATTTTGTGTGGAGTATCAGCTCAGTGGATTTTGAGAGTACAGACCTACTGTACATCTAGCAACGTAGTGCATCTGAGACTGCTTTTTAGAATAGTCATAATGTATGCAAAGTTTGTTTTGCAATGTAACACAAGTGTGTGTTGTTCTAAATTAAGCACACAAATGCAGTAAGTATTGCATATCCTTATTAAGAATGACTGGTTCAAACCATTTAGCTCAACCACATGCCCAGGAGGCCCACTCTACTCCCTGTGCCACCACACTAACTGGCATCTCTTTCTTGAGGTGCCCCTTTTGTATTGTAATGTGCTACAGTATAAATTCATGGTTTGAGGCCTACCTTGCTTTTTACAATGACAGTACTCCCCTAATTATCAACATTGCCAACTTGGAATTATGTGTTAATTATTCATCTTATTGGATTTCATACATATTGGAATGCAGCTCTACTTGATACGCAGACTGAACTGGTATTTTAATAAGCCACCAGATGATGTAATGAATATGTACTAGCAATGCAGTGATTTTAAAAAGTAATACCCCTCATCATGTAATATCTGCCAGGATACAATTGGATACAGTATCAATCTACAGTATATGCAGCACTAAATAATGTTGCAGCAGGAGGAAAAGGGGGTTTCACTACATCTTGACTCATTTAGAGCAACATTTATATTTGGTTACATTCTGATATGGTGATACATTATCCAGCAGTTACCACATTTTAAGTCGTGACGAGGTATCCTACAAACAACCTTCTGGTTAAATTGCCTGTGTACCACTGTGCCGTGTTTGCTAAATGTTAATTTATGTACCTCATGTGTGTGTGTACGCATGTCTCCAAAATACTATTAATAGTACATGTGGTCTCCTTGGTTGGGGAGAGGGAAGGATATTCCCTACAGAATAGCAGGAAGAAGGTGCCATGAATGCTGAAAGTCACTTGCCGATTTCAGTAGCCCTCCTTTCCCCTCTTCTCCCTTTTGCTTTGCTAGTGGCCTTGCAGCAGCACCCGGTAGTACGTTTATGATGCCTCTCCTCTCTGCTCCTCCCCTTGGGGGCTCCATCGTTGCCATGGTTGGCCCGCCCTGGAGGAGGAGAAGGAGGGGCAGGGCGGTGCAGGCTTCCTGCTCACTACTCAAGGCAAAGACACATCCTGCTTCTCTGAACGTCCTTGAGAAATGGACCCTGGTACTGAGTAGTAACCAGGGTGCTTATCTGTTTAGAGAGTGAAGTGATAAAAGTAGTCATCCAGCAGTAATTTAAAAACGTCAAAGGTCTTCAGTGTTATCAATCTTTAACCCAGATGCCCAAGATAAGCTTAGGATAAGCATACTTAAGAGTCCATTCAGTTTCCTCTGTTACAAGGAAACATCAAAATGGTAGTAGTTATTAACTGCAGCGTATTTTCTATATGTCAAACATCCTCCTGAAGACTGTGATTGTACATTAGAGGATTCCAAAAATCCAAAATTCATACAAGGCATGCCAGCTGTTTCATATACTTCTATGCATTGTGTTTATTTGTTGTGTGTACTTCTGTCTTCACATCATAGACATCCTCAGGCACAGACTATCTAAACAGCACACAGCCTACAGCCTACAGCTGCTACAGCATGGGAGGGAGCATTAAAACATGGATGAGCCCCAGTTCTGTGATTAGGTTTGACTGTCTCTGTCTTCCAGAACCAAAGATCAATGCCTCCGATCAGATCATCCTGTCACCGGATACCTCTACCAAAGCAGTCACCCTGCAGTGCAACCTCACCACTGCCCATACTCCCCACAAGGAAAGCTTCTGGGTGAAGAATGGACATGAGATTCCCAAAACACGAACAGAGCAAAGGAACACAGTATACAGGTGACAAACAACTTTGCTTCTGTAATTAGGGAGAGAAGACAATGCATTTAATAAGTGTTCCTAGCTACTGAGAACTCATCTACAATTTTATGTCAAATGGAAGTGGCTATGCAAAAAAAAACCCAAATCAAAACAATATGTTAAGTCTAAAAACAGTAGAAGCCGGGAGAAATTCATGTCAAAAATGTGCCATGGCAGAAACAAATGCAGTATGCTGATATCGGTTCAAAGTTTTAAATGTGTGTTTTCACAGAAATGGTACCTCAGGTGTGTTTTTCTGCATGACTAACTAACTGTTGGTATTTGCTTTTAAATGGGTCACAGCAAAGACCAGAGAGCTGCAGACATTTTCTATTCCACTGGAAGTTGTCTCTGTGAAATTTGTGCATTTTCCATATACGTACATGGGAGAGACTTCAACTCATCAGATTCTATGTATAGTCAGCACGAGCAGCTACTGAGACAATTAATTCACACAGTTCTTTCTAAATTTTAATGAAAAATGCTTTGCTAGAGGGTTATGGTCTTTAAGATGAAATCACATCTCTTGATATATTACAATACTATACGTGATCTTGATAAAGTATCTTGATCTTGTGGCTGACAATGTGGTATCTGTGGATATACAAATGTTATGGTGCAAAATTAGACAGCTTTATATAGCACCTTTCATTATGCTGCTAGGTTTACTAGGAAGCTATTATAAATATCAGTGCGTTGTAATTCAGAAGTGAAAGGTTATGGTTTTTAGCTTTTTTGCTTTGTTTTACATATGTCCAACCACCAGTGACTGAGGTTCTGATAAAAAAAAAACGTCTCATATCAGTGCCTTAAACCAAACATTGAACTATACCAATGCATCTAACTAGAAAAACAAGAAAAAAATAACAGCCTAAAGTACCAACTAGTTAGTTCCTGCTGTCACACAGTATCACTGTCGGAGCACAAAGCAACTGTCGTCCCCCGTAGACATACCACAGACTCTTTAGCCACAAGATAAAACCAATTGGTCACTTTCTTGTCACATTACATCAATGATACTCTCAATATTACAGCTAAAACCCATGGTGCCATTCCCTGCAGAGTCCAGAGCTGTTGTTCTGTAATATGACAGTATAATGCCTGCATTTTGTCCCCCATGGCCTTGTAGGCTCCTCAAGATTTCACTGCTGTAGTCCATACTAATTACTAGAATTAAGCTAAAATGAGTTCACTTTATTTGCTTGACAACCTACAATGTTAAGTGACTGGCACAGTAAATTAAAATGCTGTATTGTGTTGCAGAATCCCTAAACCGCGGGCAGAAGATTCTGGGGAATACATGTGTGTGTACACGTTTGACATGGCACCAAATGCAAATGCTACTATTGAAGTAAAAGGTAAGATTGCTTTTTGACATAACATGTTCAAAAACTATTTGCTCTATGACATATTCCAATTATGAAAAAGTCATGGCCTTAATTATAGCTCACCACATGACAGCTGAAAGATGGAGAGTTAAAGGTGTCCTAGAATGGTTAACCACCTACAGCTGAAGAGAGAACTCATTGACAGAGATGTTTGAATTAATCTAGTGCAGTGGTGATGACAGGGAGCAATCCTGAGGCTGTTGTCACTCTTGGCTTTCACTGAGACAAGTCTAGCAAAATGGACCGGCACTGCACATGCTCAGCAGAACACAAGTGTACTAGGACAAACTCCATTGTACTCAGAATTAAACTGATTCTTTTAATATTTTAATTTTCTCATCTCATATAACCGGTAATGGTTAAACTAGAGAGCGTTAACTTCAGTCTAGCTAACTAAAGAACTACTGTTTTGGTTTCATTCAAGCTGACAGTGAAGTCATCATCTTGAACAAAGAATCTTTCCTGACACAGGGCAAGTGAAAGCCTGTTCAAGAGAAGCTTGCCTGCGTGTAGTAGTTAAGCCAGTTTGCTATGGCATGGCTGTGGTGCTTACTGAGCATGCCCTGCCTCTTATTCTGCGGCTGTCTTAAAGCACTGCTTGATTGTGTAACATGGGTGATGACAAGTGAGATGATGAGACTCGTCGCCATTCAAACTGAAGTTTTCTAGCCATCAGTAGACTGCAGAGCTGTGACTGTTGACTGTAGCTTGCTATCTGTCCTCTGGAGAAAAAAATCTGTCTTTTAACTAAATGAATGATGCACTATTGTGTCCTTTGAACAGACCCACATTCTATATCTACAAATTATAAGAATGATAGAATGTTCTGACAATAAGAGTAGGAACTGTACTGTTGCTGGATCCAAACAAAGCTTTTTCTTTACTTCTTAAATGCTCTTGTGATTTTCTAGAGGTGTTTGTGACCCAGGTAGCAAGCCCACTGTTATGCTAGCCAGGTTTGCACTGCGCTTCTGGCAGCAGTTCACTGAGATCCCTCGCCTACAGTGTCCTTGGCACACTCATCCTTGCAGGACTCAGCTCAGAGGCAACAGATGGAGGCTTCTGTGATGTTGTAGGATTAACGGTCTGAATCTGGTCCCAGCCATCTCTGTGGCAGGAGTGGAGTTTATTGTCTGTGATACTAAGCTTGCCACAGATACATATTTGGTGCCTCCTATTTCTCAAAATGTACTATACTATGTTGCACATTTGACTAGGAAATATTTTAACATGTATACTTATAATTTCATATTATCTTAAAAGAATAAATGTGACTTAGCCAAATTCTCTAAATGTCACAAGATGTAGCCAACTAAACAAAATATAGGAAGCAAATAATGGGGGATTTGATTAGATGGCTCTTTGGCATCTGATGTCATTTTGCTCTACCTTCTGACAGCTTTTACCTTACTCATGTTCACACATCCCTCTCATATGCCTCTAGCACACACAGATTAATAATCACAGTCAGGAGTGTGAAAATGGAGGTTTCTGCCCATTTCAGCACCACTATGAGGGCTGACTCCGTGGTGTCCGTCACTGACATAATACTGTCAGGATAAGGCGCAAATGAGCTTGGCCACTCCCCTGCTCAGGGCGCACGTGTGCACCATAATTAGAGTGGGGTGATGTCATCAAAGAGCTCAGACCCCTCCTGCCCTGTTATTCATGTGCAGCTGAATAATGCTCACTCCAGGCCTCTCCCTTATCCAGCTTAATTGCATGGAAGGAATTATTATAAATTTGAGGATTAGTGGAAAAGCAGGAACAATTATCTTCCTGATGCTGTACAGAGTTAAATGAGAGCCTGCGTCTCACTTTCAGGAAAGATTATGTTTTACTGATGGATCAGTTTGTCTTGGCATCTGTTACAGTGCTTTATGAAATATGCTTGAATTTATTTAATTTCTAACCTTTATGTTGCATTTTATTATCAGTTTGTTTATTAATGAGATCCAGTTGCACCAAAAACCTTTTCTATGCGATTGAATATGGGATTATTTTGAATGGGAACGTCTGGAGGCTCTTGCATCATGTTTCCATGACCTCATTAGGAATTACACTGAAATACTATTATCTCTTCCAGAGTAGACGTGTATGGTATTGACAAAAAAATTCCATCTGGATGTTTTCTGGGATTTTGTTGATAAGCGGACGATATTTTGCATCTTTCAAATTGTACTAGCTCACTCTTGTAAATAATATAATAATTGTTGCTTAATAATGATATTAGTGGAAACAACATTTAAGGATAATAGGGTTTTTTATTTACTTAAAACTGAAGCATCCAAGTAAAACAATAACTTACACAAACATTGAAATTCCTTTTGCAGAATGACTCCATTAAAGGTTACTGAGTGTGTTTTTGTGCTGATATCATGGCCACTAGAATTGTTTCTTCTCAACAACAATGGCTTTGAAGTTGTGAACATTTCAAAGGAAACTGAGCTGCTTCAGTGAATCAGCCCCGCTACAGACTCTTAATTACAGTCCTCTCTCTTACATAGATGTCTGAATAACAAAAATTATTACCATAGCCAGGACAGCCAGTCATGCTTTTCTCATCCATGCCATCTGGTAGGAGTGAAACCATTCCTTTGAGTAGTGTCTTACAGTGTGTACCTCTGCCAACTGAGGTAATGATTAATTTTACCTTTCCAGCAAAACCTGATATCACTGGCCACAAGCGAAGTGAAAATAAAAATGAAGGGGAAAATGCAATGCTGTATTGCAAGTCTGTTGGGTACCCACATCCCACATGGACATGGCGTAAAATGGTTGGAACATCTTACACGGTATATGTATACACACACACACACACACACCAGGCATGCTATATACGGTACCTACTCCAAACTAAGACGTTTTCAGTTTAACTTCGACAAATGACAATTGTGTTCCAGGACATTGACAACTCCACTGGACGCTTCTTCATTACTAGCAGAGACAACTATACAGAGCTCAACATATTAAACCTGGACATCAACACAGATCCTGGAGTATATGAATGCAATGCCACTAATGTGATTGGAAACACTGCTGAGATCACTATACTACGAGTGCGGAGCTATCTTGCACCACTTTGGCCTTTCTTGGGTGTGCTTGCAGAAATCCTAATCCTCGTAGTCATCATCGTTGTCTATGAGAAACGCAAGACGCCAGATGACATCATTGATGGTAAGAAAACTTCTCTGTTAATAGCAGCAATGACTTGTAAATAATATACTGTGAATGTAGATACCACACCGATTTATGTACAGTACATAATATTTTAAAATATATAGTGTACTATACATAAACTTGATCTAAGAGGTAAAATTTTGATTATGGTAGATCAGTAAAAGTTTGCGTTGAAGTGTTGGATAGGGAATCACAGCAAGTATAGAATTCCCCAGGGTCCGACTTTTCCTAAAGGACAATGGCTGAGGTCAAATGCCATCTACAGAGGAGTGTATCAGATCTTTGGCCACTGGCACCTTAAAAAATGCAAGCAATGGTTTGGTTTTCTATTTCCATGTCCCACTGAGAAGGTGTGAGTTTGATAGTTATACAGAGTTATCAACTTAAGACTACATTTTTAACCTACTGTAATGAAGATTTAAATGTCTAGCTCTCTAATGCAGGATTACCCTTCTTTTTCAGTGTAATCCACAGAATAAAAATCAGTGTACTATTCACGTCAGATACTTGAGTTTTAGAGTACAAAGCACTCTTTAAGAGTTTCTCTAATCTGGTGGCCAAATGAGGTTACATCTAAGAATCTGCAGTCTGGGGCTACACATGATCAAAACCACTTCTAATGTGGAAATGTAAAGGTAAACACAGGAATGAAAAAAGAAATATAAAACAGAAATACTACAAAGATTATTCAACCCAGTAATTCAGTGTCAATTTATTCATTTCAGCAATTTGTGCATTTATTTTAATATGTATATATTTTTAATTTTCGTTTTGTCAAATCTAATTTTTCATACATACGATCAGCTTTTGCATGTAACAAAATAAATGACTCATGCCTCGTGGGTCAGACATAATCACATAATGTGTATGTCCAGTATGTGGCAAGATGAAAATGTCTAGAAAGCCCAATGGTCCTGTCTGACCTCCACTTGTGTGGCCCTGTCGTCTTTTCATTTTGGAATAAAACATGAACACAAGCAAAATACAAAACCATAGCAGTTGCGCCACTATTATGAATCACTCCAGCTGAGCACCAGTTGTACACTGCACTCTAGACTACAGACTAGACTACAGACTAAACAAATAAAGCTTCAGGGTGCATCCTGCTTTTCCACTTCCTTAGTCCAAGCAAAAATAGGTTTACTCATGTTAAACATCTAAGAAATAGTTCTGCCTCTTAACTCTGCATTTACTTCACCCTCACATCAGGTGATGACACAGCAAGGGTCAAGGTGACATGATAGAAAACATTAATCATTTAATTGGGGTCTACATGTTTTTATATTATTGCCTCACAGTTGTTTCACCAGTATAAATATCAGTTGAAACTATGTAATACTGTATGAGCATATTAACTTAATGATTCAAATAATTTATTTTAGTTTTACTAAGTACAGTATTATAAATGCCAAAGTTTCAAATATGTTCTTAATTAATTAACATTATTTAGCAGATAACTAATTTCCATATTTAACTATTAATCACCATTATCGATTAGCAATATCCATCTATAATCTATAATGGCATTTTTTTATTAGTTTGTTATATAACTTTATCTGTTTGTTTGTCACCTGTTAAAATTGTTAATTACCTGATAGTTTGAAAGAAACTAACAAGATAAAGTTAAACTACTTGCACACACACACACACACACACATACAGAAACCACACAGCTCCACACAAGTAAGCTCTGTGCACAGCCTCTAGTTTGGTTTCATCTACCAGGAAAATGAAGCGATTAAGGTGGATTATATTTGCCATGTTAATGCCATTCAGATTAGGAATGAAGACTCCCTGCTCACGATGCACAGCCTCTCTAAAATCTCTTTTTAGCATCCTGTGTTCCCAGTCATTTTGGCCCCTGTCGGAGTGCTTTATAAACTCTGGTCTCTCGATGGCTTCACTTTCACACTCCACAGGCATGGGCTGTGAAGACAAGGCTGACATTTCTATCCTGTTCCTAAACCAGTTGCTAAAATGGTTTAGGAACTAAACCATTTATTATATTTAATAAATAGTAGCTCAATAACACAAAATTTAAACAAAAATACTTGCACCCACATATTGTTGTTAAGTTACATAAATAGCTAACTCTAACTGATGCAGTCAGACTTGATGTGATACAATGTGACACACAGATTATTATCAAGGTTCAACTGACATTTGCACACATTAAAAATCTGTTATTTGCTATGTGCTTGTAAGTCTTTATAGCAAACCTAGCTCTTGTGAAGTATACACACGAGGTGTTAAAGCAGTGGGAGATGCAGACAGATGTTCCTCCTCTATGTGATTACAGAACCTTCTTTTTTTTTTATAATTGCTATGATCTGCTTCGTATTAATATCACAGAATATTGCTAATCCTGCTTATCAGATACAGTATATACTGCACCTGCATGGAAAATATCTCACTCTAACTGCAGGTTACTTACCCCTTGACACATTTTCATCTGAATGCCCTGTCAATCCCAAGACTTTTGGTTTTTAAATTAAGTTGTTGCTCAGTGCATTAATATGTACCATTATTCACTAGTAATGCAATGTATGTTATTTATGGTATTGCTGTATGAAAAAGATTAAAAAAAAAAAGATTAGTTAAAAATGTAGATTTCCCATTAGCATTATGTCAGTAATCTGAAAATAGTAGGTATTCATAGCAATGATAATAACCTCTGTGCACTGCCGTACAACCTCTGGATGCCAAGAGGCCTTTGAAAAGATTACGTGAGTTTATGCCATGTCAGTTACAATATCACAGCCATATTCTAGGCCCTTTCAAAATCACTATAAAATGACTTGGTTTAATTAAAAGATGGCTTTAAGTGAGCCATCTGTAACCCTCCTACACATATGCTCAGTCTGAAATGAACAGGAGCCCCATGAGATTCAGATGGCATGTGAGGTTATGTTTACAATGCGTGGCTATAAAGCTGTTTAAGAAACCATAACACGTTTTTATTTCAGGCCTTTTACTACAAGTATGTCACTGCTGACCATTTTCCCAAGCATATAGTTCTTTAACTTTTTTCTGAGTGGTGTTTTACTATCTTCCAAATAACCTTGGAGTCTAAAAAAACCTTTAATGGAATTTACACTCCTGTGTTCACTAGGTGTTTTCCTTATAAGTCTGTTTATCAGAGATTTTCAGCAGCTGATTCCTATGTCTGTGATGTTACAGCACCAGTGGTCCACCAGTATCCAAGTGTTCAAAGTCATCTGGGCTTTCAGCTGCATTATGACACAATGTTAAGATTCACCGTTTGAAGGATTTGGTTTCCAAAAGTTGATTTTCACACAAAGTGAAATTATAGTAAATTAATAGCTACCTGGAAAAGGGAGAAACTGTGAAAACAGTCAGCCACGATAAGTACATTATTTGCAGTAAATGTGCTGATACATGCAACACAAGTATGTTACTTTTATCTTTATTTCACATTTGACTTCTGTGCTCTGTTTTTCTCCCTGTTCGCTCCTTGTGACACAGATGATGAACCAGTTGGACAAATGTAAGTTATATTTTATTGCTGCACATATAACTCATACAGTACTTTGAGTTGCCATTACCTTTAGGTCACTAAATCACAACTGCTATTTTCCTAGGAAAACAAATTCAACAAACAACCACAAGGACAAAAACATTCGCCAGAGGAATGCAAAATAAGCACTTCACTCAAGTAAGACAATTATGTAGGGGATGGGAGCTAAGTATAGAAGTCACTGTGAGGACTATCCATAGTCATGACTTCTCTTGGTTTTCTTTTCACAGATGAGATGGCTAAACTGCATTTATGACAACATGAAGGTATAAGAGGTGGATAGAGCTCTGGACACTTTTGAAAAAAGCATATCGTCTCATTTTATGAGAAACAATATCAGCGTAACACTGGCAACAAAAAGAACATAATGGCTGTCTTAAGCATGCCTTATTCAGTCTTAGGTGGAGATTTCAGGATGACGAATAATGACTAAAACCACCGCAGAGGTGTACACATTTTTAATGTGCTGTTGATGTCTCCTTTATTAATTTTATCATGTCCTCAGATGAGGTGATCCCTTTTGTATTACATACCATGTACAACGCATGCAAGATAATTACACAATAGGGTACTCAGAATAGACATTTTCTGTTGTTATCCCTGGTGTGGCTTTTTTGCATCCAAAATGACCTATGTTTTTTATGGAGTCATCCTTATAACATACATACATACATTCACACATACATACATACACACATACATAAATAAATAAACGGATGTATAGTTAGTTTTGTACAGCATATCATGTTTATTTGAGTTTGTGGGAAGTCAACTTTTAACAGAACTTTTATTGTGAAGCAAGGGCTTCAGTGACTGGCAGTATTTCAATTTAATTGCGAGTGATTACAGAAAATGGCAACTGTGTGTTTAACTACTATATCTAAACAAAAATGATAATGTGTATTATTTTTATTTTATTTGCAGAGTTACTTAGGTGTCTTGTATATGTTGAAGTATGAGTGTTCAAATTATAGGAAATCTGTAAAAAAATATTTTTTTTATATTTCCCAATTTCATTAATTGATTTTAATTTTTTTATTTTCCTCTCTTTAACTGTATAGCATGGCTATAATCCTATGCAATATGTATTCTTAAATAGATATATGGAGGGCAGTTTGTTTTACTCAGTGAAGCTTTAATATTGTGGGATCACTTGGAAGCTGGCATAGCAAAATTCACTGCTGTAGCTGCATGACTCCTCTTTCAGTACAATGTATCTATGTCTGTTGGACCTGCATTAAGATGGAAACAAAGGGACCAGAGTATATAGCCACGATCAAACATATGAGTGAGACCAATAGTTTTTTTCCAAATAAAAAGTATAAAAATGAAACCAGAATTTTTTTCTTTTGCTAGTTCTTTCTCTAACCATGTACATTTCATGGCTTTTTAAAGAAAAACTGTCTAACAACCTTTCAGATATCGGCAGCACAGCAAGAAATGCCCCATCCACACCACAAATGATATAAGAAAAAACACATTACACTGACTTGAAACTTCTGTCTTCAGCTGCTGTTAAGCATCTTCACTCTTGAACCAGTTTCTTCAGTTCCTCCTCCACCTTCTCCACAAATGCAGGAAAGCTGGGATCCAGCAGACAAACACGTAGCAAGGGTTCCAAGTCACCTTGTTCCAGAGAACCATGGTAATATGCTCGAGGCAGAGTGACAGCAGCCTCTCCCAAGTAGTGCTGCGGAAGGTCAGAAGAATCAGCTCACAAAGAAGAGAGTTAATTGAGTAGTCTATGTTAGCATTCACCTATACTAATAATTAATAAAAGCATTATCATCCTTACAGAAAACAATTACAAGTAAAATGTTCCACAGTTGTCATATGGAACTAAGTTGTTAGCTCCATATGACTTACTGCGTACACAGTACCTGTGCAAGACGCTTTAAGGACAATGATCCTGGAACTACTTCAGGCTCAACTCCCATAGCTGTTACCCGTGACGTCTGCTCACACAGGATAACATCAAAAAAGATGAAAAAAGATTTGATGAACATGGCCTGACTCCACAGGGTTAAGAGACCAATCAATGGCTTCATTACTAATTGAAAGACATCCACCCCTCATAAAGCCATTTTATCTTTACTGTGAACTCCTTCAGTTTCTGTTCGCTAAAGGTCAAATTCAACCCCATGGCAGAAACCAGTCCTTTCTTTATTCCTTCATATTAGATGTTGTGAAGCCCAGAATAGCTGGAATTATGTTTTACTCAAAAGCCAGTTTCGCAGTATACATATGCTCTGAGTGTTTTCCAGTTTGAAAACAGATAAAAGGCCATTACTGACAGGAAGCACAAGTGTATTATAGAGCACCAACTACATGAATGTCTTTGGTAGAGTATACATTTCAGGTGGTTAAATGCTTTGATGTTTTCTGTTGGTTTTGGCTTCTAGATTTGGAGCAAAAATGTTTGTTTTCATAATGAAGCATTGGACTGTTAAAGGCAATATTAAGAACTAATTTTTTAGTGGCATTAGGGTTATGCCACTTTAATGTTTGTATTCATGAACAATTATATTATTGTTCTACATTCTTGTCTGTGTGTCTCTGCTTACAGGATGGGACATATTGCATTCTACACAATATATTGCATTGTGACTGGCTAACAATACATGTACTGTAGATTATATAGCCTATCTCACTCCACCTACTGTAGCTGTAGTGTCATCTCTAAAAATAAGACAGTGTTGTAAACAACGCCATCTAGTGCGGATAATATGAGCACTGTTGATGGAAACAGCATAGTGGCAATTTGGCAATTTTCATTTCACTAATATTTGTTCAATTTACAAAATCATGTACAGTAACATGGTTACATACAGTAGTATCAGTGTCTCATTACCATCAAACAAAGACTATGACAAGAAGAAAAAATCTGTAGCTCTTGCCACAAACCAGACTCGGCTTACACATTACTGCCAGTGGTGATTTCTATGGGCAGTGCATTTTAAATGTACAAACGTCTGATGTTTGTGTCACTGCTGGTTACATTATAGAAATTTTCTTTACTGAGATGTCAAGTGGGCAAACTGGTGAGCAGACCTCAGAGGGGGGCTGATTTGAAGGCAGTGGGGCGTCATCCTCAGTGGTGACAGGCACGTACTCCATCAGTTTTTCCAGAGCACTTGAACACTCCTTTATAGCTTCTGCCCTGCTACGTCCATCAAACTGCATCCTTATCAAGCGGCTCTCACCCTGCAGAAATCCACAAATACATTCAAATTGTATCTGTCAATCTAATTAAAACACACTTGGTGGTTTGTCCAATAAAATATGTTGCTTTTGTAAATCAGCATCTTGTTAAGACAAAAAAGGGTATAGCATACATGGATACTTACATTCAGACAACTCATGTCTGAACAATAAATCTAATAACAAATAATGTAACAATAATTTCACTAAGAAGAAGCCGCTCATCATTGCACCTAAATATACTGTAACACATCCTAATAATACTGTACAATGTATATAGTATTATTAGTTTTTCTTTTACATTTGTTATAGTGTAATAAATATTAGGATTTTGATCTGGCAAGGAAATTAAGGTATTAGGACAGACTGTGAGAAGATACTATCCATTCTGGGACTGCAATGCATCTCACGACTCACCTCCAGAGTAAGTCGAAGCATGAGGTTATCAGATCTCTGGTGTACTTTGAGAGAGTCTGAGCCAGTGACCAAAAAGATGGTATCCTGAGAAAACATGAAAGAATATGTTTAGCAGCCAGGACAGTAGGATACATAGGTACATAGTGTATCATCCATTAGGGTACATTAACAGATGGATACCATTAAAAAATAAATAAGAATGTAAAACTATCCTCATTTGTACAAAGTAAAATCAGCTTGATTTCCATTCTTCACGTGTAAAAATTAATGGATGGCATTAAAGGACAGTAGAGAGTAATATACACAGTCTCATCAAGTTAACTGAACAAGATGCTTCATACTGTCTGCAGGGGTCTCTGTTTACTCAGTAACTGCTGAGCTTCAGCTGTGAGGCTTATGATATGCTTTTTCACACACGCAATCAAGCATGCAAATGCATACAACAACAGTCTAATACTGTGACCAGCCTGATATGTTACATGTGCTTTGTAAACACGTTTGGTTTGACTGAGTCAGGCCTGGCTATATCAGCAGGGTTTTCTTGGAAACAATGGCACCAAGCAGTGGGCACTCTGCTGTACTGTAGCACTGTCATATCCATATCCAGTGTTAATATTGCCTACTTTTGCAAATTGATAACATTATCATGCTTAGTAATTTAGGAAAAACCCATCAGTCAAGTATCTCTGATTTCAGTGCAACCAGTCTATCACTGAAAAAGAGTTACTATAATTTTGGAAATAAATTGTGATATTAAAACAGGCTTGTGATTTTTGTGAATAACATTGTTTTCTGTAGGATATTTACATTTTTCATTATATACCAATTAGGGATACATGGGTATGAATTTATATTAAAATTCAAACTTAAGTGACCACATCTGTTGTTTGCAAAAATAAAAAACTTAGACACAGATGATGGAATAAAAGAAAATCTGAGTAAATGACTGAAAAAACATCAAACATTGATTGCCTGATTAATTGTGATTCTTATTTGAAAGAATATTATTATTTGAAGTTACCTGTCTATATTAGTCACATTGAGCCAACCTATGCAAATGATGCCCTTCTTGGTGGTGCAAGATTTTTTTATTATTCCATTCAGATGTTTTGCACCTGTAGGCCTAAAAGTATAGATGTGTCATGTTTCAGTAGTTTTGCATTTACCAAGGAAAATAAATCCTTGGTCCACAACATTAGAACAAGAAAATGTGTTTACAATTTAGCCTAAAATCAGAACTTTACATACTATTGTGCTCAAGGTGTCAGGTTTGCTCGGCCGCTCTGGCCTCCCTCACCTTTCCTACTGTCTCTTGCCCATTAACACTAATCACGTTCACCTGTTCCTCACTCCCTTATCACCAGCTGCACTTGATTAGGTTACTCACTATATTACCCGGTTTCACTCCTCAGTCACTTGCCAGTTCGTTCTCGTCTCTAGGCCATTTTTTTCTCCGTGCTCTTTCGTTGTTTTGTATGTATTTATCCCCTAGCCAGCTACTGTTTTGTGTTCTCCCCATGGACTGTTCCTCCGGACCGTGGCTCCACTCTCCCCTCCCAGGCAGGTCAATGCTCAGTCGCCTATCTGTTCCACTATTGCCTTCATCTCTCTGTCTCCACCTTCAGTAGCCACCATCACCACCGACCAGCCCAGGAGTGACCCAGCCTATGCAGCTCGGCCCAGCTCTCCATCTCCTCGCCTCCTGCTGTTGGTCAAACACCCGGCTACTACTCATCGACAGGACTACGCACTATTTCCCTCTGTGTATTGTTACTCTCATCATCACTGTACATAATAAATCACTGCTTGCACCAAAGTCGGCTACCTGGGTCCGCCTCTTTCTCGTTCGCTCACTGACAGGTGCGAATGACACATAACACAAGGAAACTACAGTGTTGCTCACTCGTTGAATGTAGAAAAAATTAAGTTCCCAAGATTCTAGAAAGTACTTTATCCACCATCTGAAGTAAATGAATCACAAATCATCAAATAAATCATCATGACTCAAATCAAACCAAATCTAAATCAATGGAATTGAAATCAAATTGAATCAAGACATGGTCAGTATCAATATCCAGCCCTAATGTGAATCACTGCTATGGCCACCAACACCTTTGGCATATTGGGGCTCTCATGTTTGACATGAGTCTCCATGACCATCAGGAAATCACCAAATGAGGGAATGGAAAAATGGTGTTCGTCACTCCAGAAGAGTTCCTGTGAATTTCCTTTACTTTGTTGGATGATGCCTGGTAAATCGAGAGCATCCTTATTCTGAGGGGGGCAGTGAAGCTTCTTATTTGCCTCCCAACTTTTGCTATTACAATCCGTTTTAGATTTGTTCAAAGACAATTCCAAAAGTTTCCTTCAGACCTCATCCTGTAGCAAATAGGCCTGAGCTCCCTGTACTAAAGGTTCCTGGGCATTCACTGCACAAATCTCTAACAGACCAGTCTATCATCCTCAGTGAAAGCTCTGTGCAGTCTGACCTGAATATCTGTCTGGCTCGGCACCCTGGTGCAGCAAGATAGCTCTGTCTGCTGCCAGAACTCAATCAATGAGACACTGAGCAGTACCTCAAATTTCTGCTGTCTGCAGAGCAGGGCACTAACTGTACTTGTCACACAAGGCTAAAATAACTAGTAAAAACCCTGAATTTATGTTCTACTTTTACTATTTTACAATTTAACATAAAAGTTACCTGTTAAACAAGTTTAACACACAGTGTTTACCATTACTGTATTTGTGGAGATGACATTAGTCATTTCTTGCCCTCATTGTCCTTGACTGCTACAGTTATGAAGGACGTCCTTCTGCTCTGTCAAGGTTAGAAACAAAACCATGAGGAAATATGACAACACTTGTCACGTCCATACTCTGTGAGGCATATAAAATACAAATAAAGTCAAGTCACATAAATTACCTAATCAAAATACTACATAAAGATTTTCTGTCAAGGCTGAAGTGTTTTCTTTTTTGCCTTTGTGTGAGGTTGAACCTGGTGTTTTCACAATAATCAATCAATCATAAACTTTATTACCAAGTATGTTAAAATACAAGGAATGTGACTCCAGCTCAATGACCCACAATGTGCACTGAATCACAAGTAAGAAATCAAGAAAAGAAAACAAACAACCATCTATGTATATATACAAATTAAAAATGATCTATTTTATGTATAATGATTACATCTATTGCACTGTGGTGTTTGCTTTATCTTGTTATACATATAAACATACGTTAAGTGTTCATCAGAGTGACAGCCTGGGGGAAGAAACTGTCCTTGTGTCTGGTTGTTTTGGCGTACAATGACCTGTAGCACCATGCAGAGGGGAGGAGGTCAAACAGTTTGCGTCCATGGTTTGAGGGGTTTGCAGAAACCTTCTCTGTCCTCCTTTTGATCAATGAGATGTACAGGTCCTCCATGGAGGGCAGACTGCACCAGTGATTTTTTCTGCAGTCCTGACTGTCTGCTGGAGTCTGTTCCTCTCCTGTTTGGTTGCTGAGCCAAACCAGACAGTGATGGAAGAGCAGAGAACAGACTCCTCTGTTCTGATTCCTCTGTAGAACTGTATCAGCAGCTCCTGGGGCAGGTTGAACTTCCTGAGCTGGCGTAGGAAGTACATCCTCTGCTGTGCCTTCTTGGTGATGGTCCTGATGTTGGATATTCATTTAAAGTCCTGGGAGATAGTGGAGCCCAGGAACCTGAAGGACTCTACTGCTGATGCAGTGCTGCTGAATATGGAAAAGGGGGGCAGGGGGGCTCTTACTGAGATGTCAAGTGGGCAAAGTCCACTGTCATCTCCACTGCTTTGAGTGACTTGTCACTGCCTTGGATGATATAATATTGAATGGATAATATTATTTTTACTGATTTTGAACCAAAAAGTGTGAGGGACATTTAGGTTGACCAAACCAAAACAATGTAGTCAGATCCCATTTGACTTTGGCAGAAATGTCAAGTTCATCAGAAAATTTCACACGGTTTTCATTAGTCTTAGAAAGCAGATTTCTGTTACTGATTTACAGAAAATGGTGCACTTTTTGTTTAGCCATTTTATAAAAGGTGTTATTGAAAAATGCTGCTACATATTAACTATGCTTTCTTTACAGAAATATATAGATTGGCATTAATGTCTTTATATTCACAGTTAATCCTAGGTATACACAAGCATAAAAAATAGCCTAAAATGCTGATTTATGTATGTTCTTCGAAGAAAGCAGCAGCATAGGCATGTCCCATTTAGGAATACAATTTTGGACCAGCACTGCTTATAATTATTATAACTCATACTCAGTGTTCCCTCCATATGGGGGAGGACAACCAATAATAACAGCTGTGACTTAGTGCAAATTGCCACTGTCAGGGCATGACATTTGCGACTGCAGCCTTAAATGATTTTGAGCATTCCCCTATAGCCACAATTTATTTTTTGAATTCCAGAGCCTTGGGTAAAGCTACACTGCAACATCTATGCAACACATCATGCACTGACACCTGCTAGAATGTAGAGTCAATTGTCATGTTCTTGTGAGTTGAAAGTCTGTATGGGAGTATCACAATGAACTGATGTCCCCTGCAGTACTGCTACCAAATGTAAATGGATTATTTCTATGTACTGTAGTCATGAGACTGAAGTCTATTTTACAGCAGACAATATTTCCATTTTTGTCATTACTTGAACAACCTTGTACATGTTATTCTGGACCACAAGCTTTGCACATTTTAATCTATAATTATGAATCTTTCAGAGTACGGAAACTGAGAAACTCAATCTTTTTTGCACTTTTTTCTTAAAAGACAGCAGCAAGTGAACTAGCATAATTTGAATCAGCAAAGAAAGAATTAAAAGTATGCCATTAAATCACTGCACAAGTTTCAGAAAGCTGTAAAGAAACAAGTTAGTTATAGCTAATAGCCAGGTGGTTTTCTTACCAAGCTTTCCTGCCCTTGCGATACCAGCAAATATCCTGATTCCACAATTGTGAGGACAATTTCAGGTTTATCTCTTTTTACCTCAAACACCTGGTGAGGAGAAGAGAATATTAATCAGAGACCAACCCAACACAAAGTTACAGTGAATAGTTACTTTTCCTGATTATGTCAAAATAATGGCATTTGTTTGTTGTATGTATTCAATTCTCTCCAACACAAACTGGAAAGGAAACAGCTCTAAATGATTTTGTGTAAACTCCCAAATGAATATGAATGCAGAAAAAGCTGCTTTTCCCATTTTCATATCACAGTTAACCTTCTTACATTTTCTAACTTTTGTCAGGCAGCATTAAGGGCAGTTTGAGCTCTTGTGATATGATAGGGACAATTTTCTTGTTGTTGAAAGAAACTCAAGAAATACAAAAAAAAAGACTGGCCAGTACTAAAAACATAATTGCCCGCTTTATGTTTATAATCAAGCAGAGGTAAATTGGGGTAGCACATGTAATGTTTTAAAACCAGACACTTCTTTTTTTATGTATGGAACTCAGCTGTGGTTGTGTTTAGAGTAAATGTATAGACTTCAATGAAAACATGCATCTACCAATTGGTAAAGCTTTTGAGAACCAGAATACATTAATTTACACAAGTTATTTCATAAGCTGCTTAAACAAGCCTTTATAAAGTAATACAACAATATGGGAACTATGAGAGAATTATAAAAACGCCTTTAATACGTTTAAATACTGTTTCAGGGGTTTTCAAACAACTCCAGGGGTTTATTATTAAAAGAAACCCCGTAACTCCAATGTAATACTGGGGCTAAAACTGCAACGAGTAGGCTATGCTAGCTAGCAGGTAGGGCTCAGGCAAACCTCTTTTAACAAGTGAGTTTTCAATTCATATGTGCGCATTCAATATTATATAACGTTAGCTTTGCTGGGACTATGCGACACTCAACAGAGCTAGTTAGCACAATTTAGCATAACGTCGTTTGGTACTGTAAGTCAGTTAACTAGTTACCTTCCAAAGCTCTCTCCTTATCTCTCTGGACGCTGGCACTAAGCGCCCATAGCGTTTTAACTTCCACACTCGACCCGTGGCCATTTCCAGTGACTGCACACCAGTTCTTTTGTTGACAGTTTTCTGGTAAACCAACACCTGACCTGCTAACTATTGGGGTGAGCGGCTGAGTTTGGCGCGTGCCGCGAGCACAGCGCCATGTCAGTGGTGGAAGAAGTAGATTTAGATTGTTTACTTAAGGTAAAGGTAGCATTGTGAGAATATGAGAAAAGGTGTGGAGGTGTGTAAAAATAATCTGTTACAGTCCTGCATTCAAAATGTTACTTAAAAGTAAAAAGTACAGTATTTGCCTCTAAAATGTAATGAAATCAAATTAGCCCAGAACAGAAAAAAGGAAAATACTCAAGTAAACTATCTCAAAATTAGCCTACTACAGTAAATGTACTTAGACTGCTATGTATAGTAAGTACACTAAGAAGTACTAAGGCTGTCTGCAATCATTTATTTTTTTAAGAAGCAATAGATTTGTTGAAGTATGACCATGTGGATTCTAAGCTTAAATCTGCATTTCTGACAGTTCTGCACTTAACAACACTGTGACTGAAGGTGTGTTCTGCCTGGAATAATACTACAGATTATACACAGGGAGCATAAATTAGCATGCTGTATGTTTAGCATGTTACAAACAAAGCCCCCACCCCTGGGTCCAATATAACAGAACTCAGATCTCTCAAAATGTTACCTTGTTTTGAAATAGGAAATGAGTTATTTGATCAAAAAAATGTATTAACACAGACTGGCCATCTGAGTAATAAGCATGACATGTTAATCAAACACAATGTCAACCATCCTTCAATGTCCCACTTTAATACTATAGCTTGACTGATACTGCGTTCATTTTCATTTCTTACTTACTACAATATATAAAAAACAATAATAATAACAACAACAACTGTCATCTAGTCATATCATTTTATCTAAACTTGTCACTCTTTAATGTAAAGCAACAGTAAAATTTATTTGAATTAATAGAATTTACATTATATGAATTCTGGAATGCTCTCCACACCTTTTCTCATATTCTCATATGACATATCAATGGCATTTTATCAAGCAACTATGAAAATGATCATGTCAAGCTCAAGCCTGATAGGACAGGCTATTTTAGACTATAGTGTTTTATAGGGTGATCTATAACCAAGTTAATCTATTACAGAATGTAAGGATCTGCATTCACTGAACTTGTCATGCTCCTGTGAGTGACAGACATACAGTAAATGCTCAAAATACCGTTCAGTGACAGATTTACTTTTCATGTAGGCCCACATGTGTTAAAATTTTAATTTATCAGTCTCGTGGAAATGATGATAAAGTTAGTGGCATTACAGAATTCGATCCTTAGGATTAGACAAGAAATAATCAAGGAATACTCAGAAGTTTGCATTATTCTCAAAACATGACTTTCTCCAGATTTTTTTCTTTATCAGCCAAGACAAAAAGAAAATAATTCCGATTGCGAAAGTAGTATTATATTGTATATTTATTTTAATGGGCAAGTGTTGTGGTGCCATCGGTAAAAATGCTATATTGTGAATAATAAATTCATAATTGTGTGGGCAAATAATATAAAATAAAGAATATCTGTCATTTGTGATGTCAGTCCCAGTTTTCCATGAGATTCTCTTTGGTCAACCAGATTTTGCCAAGAAGAGCCTGTTATAGCTTCACCTTATGCATTTGTGTGCGCAAATTACGCAGTGGATCACCCTGATCATCTGAATAGCAATCAGGCGACATGGTTTTTCCAAGTGGTGCCCACAGCCTTGCAGAGCTGAACTGTGGGTTTGCTTTGCCTACCTGTAGCCTTAACTTGAAACAACAGGAGAGCGTTTTAAGAATGGGAAGAGCATTCCCCTTTAAACAAGGTGGGCTGAGCTTATTTGCAGTTTTCGCTCCTATGGCAACCCAATAGATCAGCTTCATGAATATTCACGTTTCACCAAAATGCATCCTGACTATGGATCAGTGATGTCAGCGGTCCCTGGAATGCTCCATTGTATTTCGTGTTATCGTGTCGCCTTGTTTGATGGCAGCTGGTGAGACATCTGATGAAAAGAGCATCCTTCGTCGTGCATGACCTTTCCCTCGTCTTCATATCACTGTCCGTGGGCACGTCTCTCACATGTCACGCTAAGGTGACTTTCAAGCAGTTTTTTCCACTTTTGCGCACAATGTCGGAACGGCACAAGGATGTACATCGGGGACGCAGTGGCCAAGCAGACCGCCCTGGCTGTGTGTGAGGACATATGCAAACTGTCAGGTAGTCTCAGTATGACAAAGAATATCTCTTGTCTGTTTCATTAGAGCCACGGTGGCCCATGTCATGTGTACAGCAGGCTTTCAGGGATTCAGATTAGCTCCAGACTGATCGCTCTCCCAGAAAGATAGGGGGCTGATGCCAATAATAGTTATAATACAGCCTGCCAATTTTAATTTTTACATTATTTTCTTCACTGTGTCTCAGTGTCATAATGGACAGGTTGCACTCCTCCATGCGTAAAAGGCTCTACAGTTTGCCACAGCACACTGGACAGAAATCATCTATGATGGGTGAAGGAGAAGACGCAGACAAGGACACCCGGAGGAAGAGCATTAGGATGAAGCCTATACCATCACCGTCGCCGACCTCTGGGGGAAGCTGCAAAGGCATCGGGGAGACCAAAAGTGGGGAGTCTGTGATCATGGAGACGGACATCGGGAGACCGATGAAGACCAGCTCAAATGGAGATTGCCGGAGGTTCCGAGGCAGCCTCTCGTCAATCACAAGTCGGCATGTGCACGACTCGGAGTCGGCGGAGGAGAGGCGCCTCATCAACGAGGGGGATGTCACCCCGAGCGAAGAGAGCCCCCATGGAGCCGTCGGTGATGGACAGCTGGATCAAGGTGCGCAAGGGGCCAGTGGCGGCGGTGTTACCCAAAACGACTCCCCAGACCAGCAGTCAGGGTTTATAAAGTTGGATGGCATTGATCAAATTCTGCCGGACGACGAGAGATTATATCAAGCTGGGTTCATACACAGGCAGTTTGGAGCAATGCTTCAACCAGGGGTCAACAAGTTCTCACTGAGGATGTTTGGAAGTGAGAAGGCGGTTGAACGGGAACAAGAGCGGGTTAAGTCCGCCGGATTTTGGATAATTCACCCGTACAGTGATTTCAGGTAAATTTAGACACCACGCACATGCTATCCAAACACTAGACAGAATGAAGCACCACGTCAACGTCGGTGCTGTGCACAGGTCCAGATGCTTTCCCCAGTGTCTTTATCATTTATTAGGGCATTCATCACCAAATAAATCCGTTGTTTTTCCATCTTAATAGCTACCACCTTCATCACTGATCTTGCTCCTTCACTTTGAAACATAACATTGAATCAAGGCCATGGTTTTAATCAATTGGCTTTACTGCATTATAAAAATACATCCTTGCAATATACCAATTTATTTATTGATTAATAAAGGATGTTTTGTGCCATAACACAGTAGAAGAATGATATTTCTTATTAGGAGACCCTTGGGCACACTGTCTTTTTATGAAAACACCCACAGATAACACAACCTTTGCTAATTAGGCCAATTTGACTATCTTGGGCAGCTGCTATCCAAATGGATACATAATTGAATCCCTTTAATTGATTCTTCTTCTTTATTTGGCACAATCTGTGCTCAGGGGACCTCATTTATCATTGATTAGGGTTAGTCACATTGTCTTTAGAGGCATATATATTGATTTTTTTCTTTGTCTCTTCTTTTGCACATCATTTTTGAAAAATAACTGTTAAATAATCCTATTAGAATAAACATGATTAATATTTCTAGTTGTAGAGCAATTGGAAAACTGATCAACAGGTATTGTGTCTGCATTCAACTGTGTCATCTAATCTATTAACAAAATACATCAAGACAACTGAATAGAGTCCATAACCACTCTTGTTGTCCAACAGATCACTTGTTAGAGCCTTTGAGTATGTTATTCCTACTGTATGCATCAGGTTCATGGCAACATGGAGCCTCTTAACTGTGAAACATTAAGGTCTGCTGTCCTCAATTGTAGAATTTTTGAATAGTTATCACACAGTGCTTATAAACAGTGTGTGAGACATGTGTTTGGCTATAAGCAGCATCATCACCTTTCTCCTGGTCTGCAGCACTGAATGTAGTGTAGCCTGCCTGGTGTTTGATTGGCTATGATTGTTTAATGACATGCAATATAGCCTACTGTAAGAAAAAAAAAATCACTTTACCACAAATTAAAAAAAAAAGTGTTTCTCTCCCTCAAGAACAAGATGTCTGACTCTGAGAGACATGTGAGTTGTAGTGTGAGTTGCTCACAGGTCTGCAGTGTCAGAGGCAAAGACTAAATAAGACTTTTCCCAGAATAAGAATTGAAAACAGACACATATATCTTCCTGTTTATCCTGAGAAAATGGGCAAATACAGTATACTGTGGTGGCTGACTTCACTGGGTGTTTTTGTGAATTTAGTAAGCTGTCCTGAATTGTCATGAAGTTTTTTTAACCAAAGTAAACTGGTGTCTATTACTGAGTGGGTAGGAAGGCAAAACTAACATCACATTTCTTCTAACAGCACACATTATATTCAGGTATAACCAGACCCAGGTGATCAGCTCTGTTGTGTTTCCAATCTGCGATTGGTTTCTTCTGCATAAAGAAAATATCTCTCTTTTGTCAGTCTATTCAGTCAAAACCTTTAAACAAATACAAACCTGACCAGCATCCAAGCACATTGATTTTAAGCTCATAACACATAAGATAATATAAAGGTTCCCATTTTCCAAGTCACAGTTTGAACATAGTGCCATTAGAAAGTGAGACATGTATTTGACCCTTAGTGATGTTTGTTATGCTCCTCTAAGATGGTTGTGTTTCCTGTGATCCCCTGCGGTCTCTTGCTAACTATGTTAAATGTAATCAGGAAGGCTGATTTGGGGCCTGACTGACTGTCTTGATAGCTTAAAGGTCATAGATTTGGCACCAGCCATAAGTGTCTTTGAGCAAGATGCTGAAACAGGGAATCTGTTGCACACTGCACTCAGTGAGACACTCTCTCAGTGAGATGTACCAAAATAAACAGAAAATTGAAAAAGCTCTAAGAGAGAAGTGCTCTAAAAAAATGAGGTTAGCCACCCACTTGTTCAGGGTCTGAGGGTGGATACTGTATATTACCATAATTAAACATTTTGGTGAGCTGAGAGCAGTTCGCTTGTGGTTCAAGCACTCACCACTATGATTACGTAATCATGCACCTCTACAATTAAAACCACAGATGTTGCACTCAATCAGGAGAGTAAAAAAATGAGTTTGTACCTCAGTTAACGTAGTATGATTAAAGACAGTTGTACATTTCTCTGCAGCAAACAGGGAAAAGACGAAGTATGCAGGGAGTCGGTTAAAAGCCCATTATTGAAGTCAAAATATATGACATTTTTGTCAGCATTAATATGCTTCAAATAATATCCATGTGATGTGGACAAAAATAGCACATTATGTCAGCGACTTAATGCAGCATGTGGAGATGAGCTACAGCTAGTATTTTATTTTTAATAAACTTCTAAAGAAATATGATACTTGGACACCCATGTCCTCTAAAATCAGACAGGACAAGATGAGTGTAATTAAAGTATACAAGAAGATGAGTGAGTTCTTTTAATGGGCCCAAAGAAGAGAAGGGTCTCTGTGACTAAAAGTTTTATTCCCATGTCTGGATGAAAGCATTGGCACCTATAAACTCAAATTAGGGTGTCACAGGGAATTACATAGTGACCAGTGTGCTAAAATTCTGCAGAATCACCTCTTGTTAAAGTATTGTATAATGCTAAGAAGCAGGGGAGGAGCAATATTTCGCAAAGGAAAAGACAGATTAAAAATGGCATCATAATCCAATCTACAGTCTCATTTCCAGATCCAAAGCTGAACAGCCTCCTTTGTTGCTGAACAAGCATCTCCCAGTGATCAGACGTGGTCACTTAACCAGAGGGTGACATCTATAACACATAAGAAGGAGACAAGCATCTGTACAAAACAGCTGAATAGTACAGTAGGGTGTCGTTTAAATAAGAAGGATTATTAAGCACATGATGACCATAAAATATCTGTGGGGGTTTGATAAGATTGTTGAGCCAGACACATGACTGGTTCTGCTCTGCTCCTCGCTGGATGTTTCTGTTTGGTGTCTGCTCTGCCCTGCCAGCTTACTCTTCTCTTGTTATGAAAGTATGGATTTATGTGTTATTCAAATGTTGCAGTACCATCTTCTGTGCTGAGACCTATTGATATTGTGTGTCCCTGTTCATAAACAGAGATTGATACAAGTCATAAGATATGTATGCCCCTTTCAAAGATAATAGAATATGGCAGTGTTTGATGGACAGAATGATGCCTCTCATACAGAATAGATCCTCTGTCTAGCATGATGAATCCCAAGTAATGATCTTTTTTTTTTACTTGTTTGCACAGACCCCTTTGAGTGGATTTTATCAATGCAACAGCATTGTACAGAGTTCTAAACAGACGATGTGGCACAATATTAGAATTCAACCCTCTGATCGTCAAGTGCCTTTTAATTATCTTGTGATTCAGAGCCCAGAGGACACATCTGTTGGAAAGTCTTTCACATTTCTCTGGAGAGATAGAAACGAAGATGTTGCACATTACATGTTTAATTTTTTTTTGCACTGAAGGCTTTATTAAGCCCACCTCTTCCCTTTAGAACCGTGGGGGGTCGGCTGTCCTTCAATTTCTGTCAGTCATTTAAATCCCTTCACCAGAGTCAGACGAATCCTTCCATCCTCTTTGCAAAGTCCACTTTTCAACAGCTTTATATTTCTCCCACATATCCAGTTTTGTTTCCCAGAACACAATTACCCAGACAGTGGGAAAAATAAAAATAAATCCTCTAAAAAGATATCTTACAGTTTTGTTTCTCTTTCTCTCTCTCTCTTTTTCTCTTTTGTAGGGAATACATTAAAGAAAAGCAGAGCAGATGTAGTTACTGATGTACACATTAGGACTATAATACAGTATAGTTAAAGGAAAATGACTTTTAAGTCTTGACTAAATGAAAATGTGCAGTGTATTCCTGAAGGTGTTTATATTAACTATTAATTTAACCATATTATGATTTGAAGTTTTCATTCTCTTGTTAAAGTGAGCCATAGCATTTCTAATATTCTCCATTAGCCTCAATAGAGAGAGAGAGTGAAATTCTAGAGAGCTCCTCACAGTGTTGACCTTACAAGTAAAAGTAAAGAAAATGGTAGCTGCATTACCTGAATTAGACTGCTCTTGTACTTTGTGAGAAAATGGAGGAAATCATTCTTATGTTATTATCCCTTTGATGAATATTGAGATCTTTTAGATACTGCGCAATTTATGCACCTTAGGTTTGTGGTCCTTATCATTAGCAGCTACTAACAGTTGCAGACCTTTTGTTGAAGATAAAGTAAACTTACCACATGGGATCAGATTAGAGCATTCACTGGGTTTGGTTGATTACGTTTGATTTGAGAGTATGGTTTGCTATTGATTTGTTTGGGTCTTGCTGAGGCCAGCTTGCGATCATTGGATTCATTGGAAAATGAGATGGGGAGACATACACGGTTGCAGCGAGGGTGATTCATTTTCTTGCAGCGGTGGCAGGAGTCTGGTGGGTGGCAAGAAGGTCAAGATGAGGTACTGGAGATGCAGTGGAGATGGACATGAACGCTCACAACCACACTTAAACAGGGTTTGACAGTTTCTTAGTTTAGCAAGTTTTAATATTAATGATTACAAGTTCTATATGAGATCAGCATATTTAAATAAAAATGCTATATTTATGAACTGAGTCCACAGATTGTTATTTTGTCCCTTAATGGGCCATGCCCAATTGCTTTATAATACTAATCCACATGGGGAATTAGGGAAGAAGGCTTGAGAGTACATATGATGAATGACACTTTATTCCTTTTGGTTGCCATTAACTAATACCTTGTCTAATTTTGTGAGGGTAGGACAGGGTGTTTACATATGGTTCTGGCTGGGCCTGAAAGTGTGGTAATCAAAAAAGGCTGTTGTGCTCATCCACAAATATTAGGAGTGTAGAGATTATTGCAGATCAATTTATTTAATGGAGGTTGCCCAGGGAGGATGTGCATGGCCAG